CAGGGGCCCATCCCGAGAAATATCTTTATCCGAAGGGCCACACGAGGAGGAGGCCGCAGAGTCACGAGAACATCCCGAAGAACTGGAGATGCGAACATGATGCGCCCTTGCTGTGAGAAAAACAGAGGAGCCCGCCACGGTCGTCAGCATTTGGTTTTTCGGTCGATATGAAGAAGAACGTGACAAGGCCGCGTAGCCTAGGACCATAGGTGTGGTAGAGACGACTGCAGACGCGATCATTGCAGTTCGCATAGTGACAAGGAGGTAGCGCGAAGTTATTGGCCGTGCATGGTGAAAAATGCTTCGTGTAAATAGTAATACTATTTAAAAATAGCTATAAGCATATTTATAGCATTTAAATGGGGTTTCAATGTTTGGTTTCAGAGAGCTCATCGTTGTTTCAGTTGACGTGGTGGCACGTAAGGCTGTGCTGGTCAAACTTTGTCTTAAAGATGTCCACGGATGGGGACATGACAATGTCCGCAGGAAGGGCATTCCATGCCTGAATTATTCTCTTAGGGAAAGAGAATTTTCTTGGTTAAGTCTTGTCCCATTCACAAGTAATTTGAGAGGGTGTCCTCGCAGACTAGTGGTAGTGGCCAGCTCAAAGAAGTCATTGCATTCGAGGCAACAATCCTGACCCCACAGCATGTGAAATGCCTGTATAAGGCTACCGTGTAGCTGTTTCTAATCCAGAGGGAATAGGTCAAGATTTATCAATTGGGTCCCATGAGGGAGGTACCGTTGGCCTCCTACTAATTTCGTCGCGCGTCGTTGAACCCTATCGAAAGAGATTTTTGCATTCCACGCCCCCCGTACCTTTTGCGAAACTGGCCTTCTAAATTCAATCCCACTATCACTACCTCTTCCCCCCTCCCCCCTGCACAGTTGCGACTTGTCCGGGGCGAGTTCCACTGCAACGTCAGCAGCCGCTGGAGATACAAATGCAAGTGTTGCCTGAGCGAACGCCTACGGGTCACGCAAGAGAACACTCGGCCGACCCGATTAAGGAGCGACAACCGGCTACTGGGTCACTGCATGGGAACTCGCAAATCGTCAGCGACCCGACCTCAGCTGTCTCTACTTCGCACGGTGAGCATTATTATCCCTTTGCTTGACCTCACCTTCAACTTCTCAGTTCGAATTTCAGCCTGGAGGAGTAGAACCTGCAGGACGGGAAGGTTCCCTGTGGCACACGTGTTTCACTGTTTTATTATCATTATTATCAATCTGTTAGGGTCGGAGCTCCATGGGTGTCATTCTAATGTAATCTTGAATGCTGCCGGCTTCGTCTTATGCGGTGCACCGTATGGAATTGCTGTACTACTACTATTACTACTACTACTACTACTACTACTACTACTACTACTACT